TAAAACGGACTCACTAACTCTTGAATTCATTGACTTAAACGAAAAGTTATTATTTTTATGACTAACTGAATACTGTTAATGACCTTCCTTTCTTGGGTTTTTAGTCATAGTGTGGGTTTTTTTATTTGCTGTCTTGTACCCCGGTTTTTTTTTTTCCCCTTCCCTTTTCTATTTTCTGTAGTTTTGTAGGTGTAACAAAAATAAATAAAGCTACCCTGTCTTCAGGGGATAAAAAAAAATAAAAGGAAGTGTGGAAGCACCTATATGATTCTGTCCACAGTGCATACCTAAACTGAGAACAGAAGCAGTAGAGAATCCAAGTCCATGGGTGCTGGATCTTATGGATTGTGGCCAATATATCCAGATGTATTGATAATGCACACTGCACTGTTATACACATTTACTCAGGAGTAAATCCTATTGAACACCATTTGACTTCTGGGCAAGTGTGCATAGGATTGCACTACTAGGGTTTTTAAGGTGGTGAGGATTCCTTAACTGGAGCCTTAGCTCATTCACATAATCTGTTCTGAATGCCTGGAACGTGCAATGAATGGAAGTCTCTGAAGATGTTCACAGTACATTTCCCTAAATACTCAGTACTAATTAACCAACTGTCACTGCACATACCTGCCACTAGGCAGCAGAGTTTCTGGGTCAGAGGGATTTGGCTTCAAGGTAGGTTTGAGACAGCACTTCTTTTTAGTTTAATTAATCAACAAGAAGTTTGCCACTAAGCACATGGTTGTTATGGCATTGCTTCTGAACACTCACCTAATTCCTACTGGAGTAGGTCATAAGGGAATGTTGCTCAATATCAAAATGTTCTTACTGCTGGGATGTGTGCAATGTATTTATCAGTTTGCAAATTATTTTATTTATTTTTATCCTGCCTTGGGGCTCAGGGTGACAGATATAGTTTCTTCCCCCCATTTTTAATCCCCACAGTAACCCTGTAATGTAGGTTGGTCTGAGAAAGAATGAGTGTCCTATAATCACCCAGGGAGCTCCATGGCAGGTTGTGGCTTAAAGCTCAGTCACCACATTGTAGTCCAGCACTTTAATTCGCTATCTCACAATGATGTTGAAGTTTAGCTCACAACATATTTGTGGGTCACTTGCCCACATATGTCTGTGTTACACATTTGTGGGTGAAAAGAAAGGGAGGGTTATAAAACTATAGTTTCTGGTCATCTGGAGATGATTCTTATCTACCACAGGTGACTAGGTGAGTAACTTTTGCAAGACTTTATAGAGGTGATTCACCCAAGGGAGAGTTCTTGGGGCAGCAGTTTCTACAGATTCCAACTTCCAAACAGACCTCTGAAGGGAAATGGCTGAGGTACAGGTGCCTTAGGATACAGCCATGAACTCATGGCAGACTTCAGATCACATACAGCTAGGGTTCCCAGCTCCAGGTTGGGAAATACCTGGAGATTTTGGGGGTGGAGCCTAAGGAGGATGGGGGAGGGTCTTCAATTGGGAATAATGCCATAGACTCCACCTTCCAAAGCAGCCATCTTCTCCAGGTGAACTGATCTCTGTTGCCTGGGGATCAGTTGTAATAGTGGGAGATCTCCAGCCACCACCTGGAGGTTGGTAACCCTTGATACAGCAGAGCTGTACTGCTCATGACCCGCCAAGCCAAATACAGCTCAACAAACCACTTACAGAGGTCAAGCAGCAGCTCAAGAGACCTTTTATGTTTGCTGCTTGTTTTACTCTGTGCCAGAAAAATGGACGGCTTGTCAAGCGACGGGGCTGGTTTGCAATATTCCGTTAGGTGTTCATGTGTTGTGTAGACTTGATGTAGAGAGGCAATACCTATAGTCCTGGTTCCCTTGCCTCATAAGTTCCCCTCATTCTGCAAGCCTCTTTTTGTGCTCCACAGTGAGGTTCAGAAAGCAGTACATTCAGCACAAGGGCTGTACCAGCGCTGGTGTCAGCGGCTTCAGGAGACTCCTGGTATCAGCAAAGAGGAATTTGACTGGACGACCAATGAACTCCGCAACAGTTTGCGCAGCATTGACTGGGACTTGGAGGATCTGGAGGAAGCCATTTATATCCTTTTGAGGCCGGTACCCTATTGAAATGGGCTGGAGTTGTGGGAATTTGGTTTTCTGGTACTGCAGTTTCTTCAGCTTTCTACACTGTGTTCTGCTTAGTGTTGGAGTAGCAGAGTAGTTCAGCCACTACTGCCTACAAAACCCATTGCTTGAACTGGAAGGAAAATATATACAAGCATGCTCCTGATGTAGGCGGGGCCTCTGGGAGAACTGTGGAATATTTGTAATCTTTACCCTCAAAGTTGAACAACTCATAGCTCTTTGCACTTAACTTGTGCACACGCATTGTGGAATCAAACCCACGCAAGTTCAAAACTGAGCCCTCTGAGGTAGCAGCCCGGTGTGCTTTCGTCACAGAGATGCAGGGATTGGTTAAGGTGAGTCTTCCCCAGCTATACACCTGGTTACCATCATGACATTGAGAAAAGCACAATTAAGCAATTGTCAATATTGAAGTAGTTCTGTAGTAAATGGGAAGATTTGGGACTATTTATGCATATCTGAGGTGAGACACTTCCTAAGAGAAAGCAGAGGAGTTTGTGCTATATTGAAGATGTTCAAAATGTATCTGTTGAAAAACTGGAATGTGAAACCAGGATTCTTTGGCAGCTCTGGAGACAGTGTGGTTGGGAGTAAAGGAATGTGGAAATCTATTCCCAAATGTGGTAAAGAAATGGAGGTAGATGGCTGAAGCTGAGATGAGGCTAAATGCTTTAGCAAATGTCCTGATTTTCTTATACCTGTAGGGAGTCTGCGGTGATGTGATATTGTGGTTACAGCAGTGATACTCAGTGGCTCAGGAGGTACCTGTGGCTCTTCTGAGCACCGTTGCCCAGTGTGGCATTTGTCCCATGTTTCAGGAAAGTGGCAAGGCCTGGTGGGGTTTGTAACAGCCATTATCTTGAAACAGCTGTTGCATGTCTCTATGTGGTGCAGGCCTCTTGCCAGGAATGGAAGTAAATGTAGCTCTTTTGGTTGATAGTAATTGCAAATTGGCTGTCCATTAACCACATTAAGAGTGTTCGACTAGGATGGAAGAGTCGTGGGTTCAAACTCCTGCTTGGCCATGAACCTCACTGAGAGACATGATGCTAGTCACTCTCTAAGCCTAATATGTCTCCCAGGGTTGTTGTGAGGATCTAATGGGAGAGTGGAGAACCATGTATGCTACTTTTGAGTTCCTTGAAGAATAGGAAGGATATAATACTAATAAAATTTCACGTATAGCAGTGTATTGTTGCGTTTAGGGTAGAGTAAAGGTAAAGGTTCCCTTGCTCGAAAGCCAGTCGAATCCGACTCTAAGGTTGCGGGGCTCATCTCCATTTCAAAGCCAAAGAGCCAGCACTGTCCGAAGACATTTCCATGGTCATGTGGCCGGCATGACTAAACACCAAGGCGCACGGAACGCTGTTACCTTCCCACTGAAGTGGTACCTATTTGTCTACTTGCAATTTCTTGCTTTCAAACTGCTAGGTTGGCAGGAGCTGGAACTAGAGACGGGAGTTCACTCCGTCATGCCGCACACTCGGGTCTTGAATTGCTGAACTACCGACCTTCCACAGCCTGCAGTTCAGCGTCTAAACAACTTGAGCCACCACAGCTCCAGGGTAGAGTATACAAGTTTACAAAAGTGACAGGCAAGGCTTGTAATAGACAGTTATGCGCCTTAGGAGCCCTTGGAAAAAATATACCCTTAATATTGTTACAGATGCACCCTTTGAAGTCACTGTCTTTACTGGTAGTTATGTCTTCTTACTTCTTCCTTTACTTTAGGAAATATGGGACCACATATCTAGTCCAACTGCACAAGCCATTTTGGAGAGGAAAAATAGAGAGGTAAATGCATTCCATCTCTTCAACTGTGTGCTGAGCTGGGTATCTGCATCTCTGCCTTGAAACTCACTGGGAAACCTTGGTCTATTTGCTCTTTCTCAGCCGAACCTACCTCACAAGGTTGTGGTGAGAATAAAATGGAAGAGGGGAGATCCACATCCCCCCCCCACAAGCTCTTTGGCGGATGTGCATTAGTTCTCTAGCCGAGGGTAACTGTGCCTTCCTTCCTCCTCCAAGGCACAGAGGACTCAACTGGCTGGTCTTTCTCCTAGTGAACCTTCCTCCTTTTCACTCTTAGATATCCATCCTTGGGGCACAGATGTGTCTCTGAACTTCTACACCAGTTTGGTGCAGTGGTTAAATGTGCGGACTTTAATCTGGGAGAACCGGGTTTGATTCCCCACTCCTCCACTTGCAGCTGCTGGATGACCTTGGGCAAGCCATAGTTCTCTCAGAGCTGTTCTCTCAAGTGCAGTCCTTGAAAGAGCTCTCTCAGCCCCACCTTCCTCATAGGGTGTCTGTTGTGGGGAGAGGAAGGGAAGGAGATCGTAAGCCGCTCTGAGACTCCCAGTGATGGGCAGGGTATAAATCCAATCTCTTCTTCTTCTCTTCTAAAAGAAAAAGCACTACCATGTTTATCAATTCCTCATTTAGCAAGTAAAATCCCCAGGGAGTATATGCCTCCTGTGTATTATGGTCTCCAATCTTATTCCCAGGTCTACATCAGATTCTAGACCGAGCAGGGGGGGAAATCCCCATTTCATTTCAGGAGAACAGAGTTGAGTTCCTGCTTCCTAGCAGATGGCAGCAGGGGTTGGGGGGAGGCAGCCTGTTGCTTCTTCTATCTGGTTCGCTTCTAGGATTGGTGCTGCTTCTGGCAGGTTTCCCGTGTGCTGCTTGAATCCTGACTGCTCAGATTTCCCCCCTCCTTCCCTGTAGCTGCCAGCAGGGAGCAGTGAACGATATCAGCTCTTGGATGCAGAGGGACTCTCGACAGTCAATTCACATGTTCTAGAAGAGCAGCAGTTGCATCAGGAGGTGGGAATGGGAATGCGATCTCCATTTCAGTGGCAGCGGGCCAATCTAGTTCACTAATTCACCACCAGCCCTTCCTACAGAGACCAGCAGACATCAGTGTGTATTTAGCCACTGCTCAGCAAAGTTTTAAAAAGGAGCTGCGGTGGCTCAACTGGTTAAGACGCTGAACTGCAGGCTGTGGAAGGTCAGTAGTTCAGCAGTTTGAGACCCGGGTGCCACATGACGGAGTGAGCTCCCATCTCTAGTTCCAGCTCCTGCCAACCTAGCAGTTCGAAAGCAAGAAATTGCAAGTAGATAAATAGGTACCACTTCAGTGGGAAGATAGCAGCGTTCGTTGCGCCTTGGTGTTTAGTCATGCCGGCCACATGACCACGGAAATGTCTTCGGACAGCGCTGGCTCTTTGGCTTTGAAACGGAGATGAGCACCGCAACCCTAGAGTCGGATTCGACTGGCTTTCGAGCAAGGGAACCTTTACCTTTTACAGCAAAGTTTGAAGCTCCCCTGTAGCTTAAAGATCCTTTCTCCAATTTAGATAGCACTTCTGCAGGAGGAAGATTTCTAACTTGGCCAAACTGGATACATCCCACCCTCCAATTCAGTACAGTCATTAAGAAAAATCATAAACTGTAGTGCAAACACTATTAATTGGGCTTGTGGTTGCATACACCTTCCTTCTGTTATCTCTTCTTGTCCCTGCCTTCAAGCTCTGAGTTCCTTCAAGCAGGAAGACACAGCTTTCCTCTTCTTTTTCTATCAAAGTGCTGGAGGCTAGATTACTTGGGTTGGATCCAACACTACATTTTCGTGGGTGCAAAGACTTCCACGTGACTTTTGTGGCTTCCCTATTCCATGATAGCCCAAATGCTATCTCGCACAGCAGTAAGATTTCAAATGGCATTTTGGGCTGTCATGGAAGGGAGAAGGCTGAGAAAGTTGTAATCTGCCTGTGGAAGTTCTTGCAACCTTAGAAATGCTGTACTGGACCCAACTCCTTGACTAGAGGTGGGGATAAAGACTTGCTTTTCTGCTTTCTTCTTGGAACTCTGATTCACTAAGCTCATGCATGGAGCATAAGTCACTCAATATTAGGTCATAATTTGTGAAGTGGATGGCTTCCCTCAGATGAGTCATGTGAAAACAGGTAAGCAAGCAGTGTTGCATTCTCTAGGATAGATTGGGTTACAAATCTAAATAGCAAATTCTGTTTCAGAACTATAGCATAGCTCTACTAATTCTCCTGCTCCATCCTACCAAGTGACTATGTTATTTATTTAGGAGATTTTATGCTATTTCTTCACTGACCTGCTCAATAATAAATGATATAAAAACAACAAACTATTGGAACAAGCCATTAAAACAAGACCAGGGACATAAAACAGCATACAACTACCAAACAAATGTCAGATGAGAAGCAGACCATAAAAAGCTGGAAAGATAGAATTAATTCAGAATTTGAGTAAAAATAAATGTTTGGCCTGGTGCCTAAAAGTAATATAGGTGTCAGGTGAGCCTGAAGGGGGAGGGCATTCTAAAATGAGGTGCCACCACAGAAAATGCCCTGTCACTAGATGCCACCTGCCTCATCTCAGAAGGTGGAGGGGGCACAGAGAACAGGGCTAGGGGGCCAGATCTTAACTGGTGGGATGGACAGAACAGGAAGAGATTATCCTTCTGGTACCCTGGCCCCAGGCCGTTTAGGGTCACCTGGAAATAGATGGGTAGCCAGTGCAGATCTTTCAGCACTTAGGTGATATGATTCCTTTAACAAGCCCCCTGGTTATAATACATTGAGCAAATGTCAGAGGTCCTCTTTTGTAATTCAGCTAAAAGATGCCCAGCAGTTGCTCCTGTTGTTCAAGTGATGAATCCTTGAAAAGGTCATCTGTTGGTCCTGATTTCAGATTGTTGTCTTAAGGGATATTATCTGTAAACAATATCTTATTTTGGTTTTTCGGAGTTGCCTTTGAAGGTATTTTTGAACTCTAATGCATGCACACAAAATATGGACAATTTATGTTTTGTGATACAGCACAAAATTATTTTTATTTAAAACATTTTAAATCTTACCTTTCTACTCAGTTAGGACCCTTGAGTCAGCAAACAGTTAAAAAGACATTAAAAATCAACTTGAAAACAAGATTTAAAACAAATGGAAAAAGGGCCAGTAAAGGGATGTCTAAAAAAAAACAAAAACCTTCACCTGCTGGCTGAAAACAATGATAGTGGTAGACAGACAAATCTCCCTGGGGTGGGAAGTTAGCAGTTTTAGTGACATGACCTTTCCTGGGTTGCCACCTTTCTTGTCTCAGACAATGAGGACACCAAAGCAGGTCCTCTGAATATGACGGTAATGGTTCGGTAAGTTCATACTGGACTAGATACTCTTTAAGGTACACTGGTCCCAAGTCTTATAGGGTTTTAAAAGTCAATACCAGCACCTTGACTTGAGCCCAGAAGTAAATTGGGAGCCACTGTAGATGGAATAAGACTGGAGGGATATGGTCAATACATCCCAGTCCAATCAGCGTTCTTGACATACTAATTATAGTTTCCTGTTCAAGGGCAGCCCCATATACAGCGCACTGCAGTAATCTAATCTAGGTCTAGGCATACACCACAGTGGCAAGATCATTGTTACTCAGGAAAGACTGCAGCTAGCTCATCAACTGAAGCTGGTGGAAGTTATTTCTAGCTACCACTGTCACCAGATTTGCCAGTTCATCAGCAGTTGGGAGTGGTCCACAACCTCCTCTAAGTGAATCATTTACTCTTCTGCACAGATGTTCTTTTCATTTGTGTCTTGCATAGTGAAATAAAATATATCATTTCCTTGATTGCTGGATCTTCTGGCTTCATTTTCTAATAGCAGTCTCCTGACCCTCTTCCTGATTTTTGCCTGCCCTTTGTATGTATATTTCTGCTGAGGGTCACACTTCATTCATTTGAAGAAGTGAGCTGTGGCTCTCAGGAAGTGTATGCCATCAAAATCAATAGCCACAAGACTCTTTGTTGTACAGACTTCCCTGATATCTCTCTCCATGACAGCTTATCATTGATGCCCAGGATGAGCAGCTGGAGCTGGTCTCTGGTTGCATTCGAGTGCTGAAATACGTCGGGGTGGGTCGGAAAGGAGCTGGACGAGCAGGCTGTGTAAGTGCAGACAGCAAGGGGTGTTCTAGCAGTGCAGGGGGCAATGGAAACCATTCATCTGCAGGATGTGCAGAGAAATGCCTACCAAAGTGGGTCAGAAAGGGCACAAATAACTCACCCCAGGGGTACAGATCTGGCAATGATGCTTCTATCACTAGCTTTTCTTGTAACGCTGGCTCAGTCAGAAGCCAGGATTCAGGACCGTCATCTATCTCAAACTGTGCCTGGCAACTGATTTTTGACCGAGGACTTATTTTTAATTCAACCAGGGCCAAAGGGCCAGCTCTGGCCACCAACTCAACTCCATGTCAGCTCAGACCCAGGAAAAAGGTACCTGAAGCCCCTCAGCAGGAGCAGCAGAAGAGGCTATGTCACAACCCTGCCACTTCAGCTCTTGCCTCCATTTGCCTTGGCTTGTGCCTAAGAGGGAGTCGTTAAGGCCCACAAGGAGGAAACTCTTTCAGAGTTTCTATCGCTGGGTGGAAGGGAGTTAGAGTCCTTTGCCTCCTGCTTGGCTTTGAGGCTGGGGTGCACTGATCATCAGGTGGGATTCTCAGGATCGGGGGAGAGATGGGAAGCCCTCCCCTGAGAATGAATCCCCAGCCCTTCGTTTCGTATCCCTAATCAGACTTGAATTAGTAGAGTCCAACTACTTAGCAGAGAATTGACCCCCCCCCCCTCCAACCATCCAAAATGAGAAAACATAACATAGGACATTCTGTATTCATATCAGGCTGAGATCCTTTGTGCAGCCATGTATTTGAGACTGATCCCTTGATGGCAATTGGGACAGGCAAGGCATGAATGCTTTCCATAAGGTACAGCTGCCACCTGAATTAATGATACCTCTACTGACTTTTCAGGATGCTAGAAGACTTTGCACATGAGAGGGACAGCACTCACAACCGCATGGATGGAGTGTTCATAAAGATGGCCAGAATCTCACACATGACCTCAGGTAAAGGATAAAGGTCTTCATGACTCATTCCTGTTCAGATCTAGAACAGAAACCACAAGTCCTGATTTCGGTCTCCTTTCTGATTTGCAGAGCCATCATATACTTTCAGGACTGTTTTGGTACAAGGGAGGTTTGACTGCCCCTTCCCAAAAAAACCATCGTTTCCCAGATTTCCTTTACACCCATCCTCAGTTCTTAGCTTGAGAAGGTTTGCAGTCAACTGATAAAGGCAGCTGAGTCAAGCTGCCAGGATGCCTGCCTACCTGCTTTCCTAAAATTATTCAATACTGATTTCCTAAGTGTGTTGATAGACTGCTGCCATCTGGATACTTTTGGCCATTTCCAAGCAGCACGGTCCATATGCTGTGGTTCTCATAGCCACATGGCAAGTTCTGCCCTCTCCTTCCAGCACATGCTCTCCCTCTTTTCTGCTTTTGCAGACTGACTGGCTCATTTGCTTGAGGACGGGCCAATAGATTTTGGTTCACAGTCAGTACCATATCATTCTAGAGGGAATACAGAAGTGTGGTTTCCTAATCTTGTTTGATAGTGCTGTTTTTTTCTTTTTCGCTGGTGCCCTGGGTTATTTTTATTTATGTTTTTGGTGGCTGTTATTATTTTTCTTACATTTTGTTAGCCCAGTCTGGGTGCCCTCATAGCAGAAAAGTCAGATGGAAGTGTTTTTAATAACTTCCAGAGAGGTTGCGCTGAGAATATGTTTCAGCCAAAACACCAGAGAGTTTTGTGGCCCAGCACATGTACGGCTTAAGCTTTTAGGTGTCTGAGCCCACTCTGTCAGGTGCATCAAATGTTCTGCTTAAAGGATAGCGGTGCATCTGATGCCGTAGGCTCCAGCTGATGAACACCTATGCCACACTAAAGGAACCACAAGACTCTGTCTTTTTTTTCCAAAAATAATACGGTAACAACAGAAACATTGACGGAATGGGCTGCACTTCAGTTTTGGTGGGGTCTCTCGTCCCCAGAGCAGCAAGCTGCAGCACCAGATAGGCAGGGACAGATTCAGTTTGTCTCCCACAGTCGGGTTTATCACAGAGGAAGGGTGAGAGGAGTAGAAAAGAAACAATGATATCGGGGAATAAAACCTGGAGAATCCTAGTTGGATCTAAGTTTTCACTGTTCATTCTCTGTCACTTTCAGAAGTCCTAGGTCAGCGGTTGCTGGCTTTTCTGGCACGTCTGCCACAAGTCAAGTACAAAGTATTTTAACATTGCCACCTAGTGCATGCTCATAACATGTGCAAGCCCAGCCTCGGTTTGGTCCTGTCTCCAGGCAGAGAGAAGGCAGCTGCATGACACGGAAAGAGGCAGGCAGGAACGCAGGCGTGAGATCAGAACCAGGCCCAAAGGCCTCTTTCGATCCCTGCCCAAGAATGCCTCAAACACTTGCTTATCTGTACGGAATGGCCACCATTAGCATAGATCAGCAATTGATCAGCCAGCCAAACTGTTCTCTTGGCCACTGTGTTTCAATTGGGGCTGGCTTGATCTTATCCCGTTCGCTTTAACGGGGTCCTTTAAAACTCCACAATTGAGGATTTTCCAAACAAGCTCGGTATTTCGTTATCACATGCCAAGCAATCGGAGTCTACATTCTTGGCTGTACAGAAATAATGCTAAAATCTCAAAGTGGAGAACATGTTCAGTCTTCTTTCAATTTTAAAAAGTGGAAGCTACAGTGCAGAAGAACAAAGCTCTCTGGGCATGTCTGGCAGGGCAGAGGACTGTGGCACATAGCTTAGAGTTGGGGCCCCAATGGTAAGACTCACAACTGTCAGACTCACCTTAGGGCTCCCCATGTGCTTTAAATCCAGTTTGTTTTATTCCCCTAGGTTAATACCATGCACTGACAGACAGTTCACCAAGACTGTCAAACCTATCTGTGATGGAAAGGATGGAGGTTTTCTAGGTGGGGCTGGTCTCCCTGTGCTCATTCCATCTCCGTGCTTTCTCCTTGTCAGACCGGCATCAGTGTTGCATCAGTGGTGTGTTGCTCATCTGCTGATTCTCCTGTTCACTTTGTGATCAAATAGCAGGGACCACTCTCACCTCTGTTGAGTGGAACACCTGGAACCACTGCAGCCTTGTATCTTGAGCAAAAGTGAGAAAGCCTACCAACTAGCAAAGCAGAAAGACATTTTGTTGAAGGGATTGCTACAGAATTACTGTTCAGAGCTGCACACTTCATGGAAAGGGAGGATTTGGAAGGCTGGAGGTTAGTACCATTGTATGGCAAATCAGCAGACTCTCCTTCTGATGTGTACACTTCAGTGATTGGGATGAAGTTACACACAGAAGTTGGTACTCATTCACACTGAGAGCATGTTACATGTGTACTTTTATTGCCAGTATTGCAAGCAGAGGCACCAGTTCAAGTTTCTGTCTTCTGAGTGGCCTCTTCTTCATATTCTGAGCCACATTAAGAAGCCGAAAACACACAGAAAGCTGATTAAACTTATTGACATTGAATATGGATCTTTGTTATCTTTTTGAATGGAAGCAAGTTGGCTCTGCATTAGTTGTATTTGCTGACTAGCTGTGATTGATTTAAGCTGTCAGTTGTATTTCATCTTGATCAATGTCAGATGGGCATGATGCTTTGTCTTGCTTTTTTAAAAGATGAAATTACTCAGGGTTGAGGATGATCCAAAACTGTCTTGCCATTTAAGGTCCTTGCTTATTAAATGTGGGAATAAAATTCAGGTAGCCAACATCATTCTCTTAAGCATATGGCAGGCCCCCTCTAGACACTGGGAGCAGAAGACAACAGTTCTGTCTTCCACATCTAGGCATCAGTGCTGTGCTTCAAAGTATCAGTGCTATTTCTGTGCTCCTGCTAAGAACTCCAAGGAAAATAATTTGCAAATGAGTCTCTTCCCATCTTGGCACGGACCAATATGGTCAGCATCCTCCACCTAAGACTAAATGTACACCAAGCCAACTATTGTTGCCTGTGGGCAGTGGTTCCTTTTGGGTAAGTCCTTGTGACCTCTAGACTTAACCTGAACAGTGTCAGTAGTTCTGTGTGGTTGCTTAGTTCTTGCATGCAATCAGAAGCCGTTTTATGTTTATATTGGTACAATATTTTAAAATGCTAAACCAGCTTCTTAAAATAAACATTTTTATATCTGTTTAATACATTATTTAGTTCTGTATTTTTTTTAGTTGCTGGAAATGAGGGGGTTTGGCTAGAATGGATTCTCGTGTGCTCTCGCGATGTTGTATCCAAAAATGGCCAAATGTGGATGCTGCTAGAAGCTGACAAGCAGGGCATGAATCACCTGCCTCTGAATGTGGAGGTTCAGCTCCAGCTATCATGGCTAATAGCTACTGATAAATCTGTCCTCTATGAATTTGCCTAATCCTTTGTACATGAATTCATTTCATAAATCAATGACGTAATGCTCAATGTGGCAGTTCTGGGTTTTCCTCCCTGAAGCTGCTTTCAGTTGCCTTAACAAATAATGTAGGGATTTGTTCTGAACAACCCAATAACTTGTTTTTCATAACAGGACTGTGTCTTCCTACTTATCATACAACCAAATCCAATATTCTTTCTGTGCAAACTTACCCTGTGATCCTCTGAATGCTCACTTGGAATCAAATCCTACCGTGTGTGTAGGATTGCAGCCTTCATCCACTTACTCAGCAAAGTAGTAATTAATTCAGTGAGTGTTGCTGAATTCTATAAAGAAACTGCCAAATAAAAGGCTGACTACAGTTCTAATTTAAGGAACTCTCTTCATGCAGCTCAGATTAAGTCTGTATGGACTACATTGCTTGGAAAAAGTTTGCTCCTTAACATGATGAATGCCCAAACTGTACAGGCCCAAACTGTAACTCCAAAACTAATGCAGTCTTTTTATAACATCAACAAGGCTGTTCCATGAGGACGTTCTCAAAGAGAATAATTAGCTCTGCAATGAAATGGGCCAAGCACATGATTGTTACAAACTTTTTTTTATTAACATTTCTGAATTCTTTTTTTCAATCTTTACAGTAGTTAATGTGCAATTCTTGATACTCTTCAGGTCACAGGGATGAGGGAGTCACAAAATTTTTCTTGGCACTTTATAACACAGAACAAATACTGGCATTATCCAGGGGCAAAGGAGTGGGTTTCGAGGTAAAAGCAGGGAGTGCTGGGTGGGGGGAGTGGGGAGGTTGCTTTTGTTAATTTATTTTAAAGGATTTGTTTTCCTCTGGAAGGATTTTACAAGGGGCAGGGGAGGGAAAGGGGACCAATATTGGAGCAGCTGCTTGCAGCCAAAGCGCCTGGAAGGGGGTAAGAGAAAGTCCATGCTGCATCTGCACAGAAGGTTACATAATCAGGCTTTGTTAGTGCTTTTCAGTGTACATTTTTTGTCCTTAAAAAAAAAAGTTTGCCCTAGTTTAGAAAAACAACAACGAAAGATGACAAAGCAGATAGAACAAAAAAGATACAAGAAGGCCACACTCCCCTTTCCCCAATCTGGAGTTACTCTCATCCCCAGCAGAAAGCAGGTCCAAGATGCAAATATTATATTTTGGAGGATTCCTCACCTGGTTGGAAGGGACTTCAACAAAAAGGGGATTGGCTGTTTCAAGTGTAGGTGGGCTAGGAGGGTTGGAGGTATTTTGTTGCTTTTCCTCCTTCTGCAATGGATCGGAGTCAGCTGGCAGTTCCAGAGGTCCACAAGGCAATGCCAGTCACCTTCCAAGCTGCTGATGGCCAGAACAAACCAGGTCCCTGCCTCTTCCCTTGTGTGTTTTCCCAGCACTTGGAGGGGGGGGGCAGGGGGAAAGATGACCAGAGAACTGGCCCTGCAAATGGCTCTCAGAGATAATCTAAGGATTTGCAGCTAGTCATCCGGTCTGTGCACAACTAATGGGGCGGGAACATAGCAAATGTATTTTAAACAACAAAGTGTTTTTGTATAAGATATCACTGTTCTTGAAGTAAAGAATGGCTCTTCTTGGGTTCTTAAGTGGTCTTTGATTTTAAAAAGGACACCTTATTTTAAAATAGCACCATCCTAGCAGACCTAATAGATGCCCTTATTTCAGGCATTCCTCCTCCAATGTCCCCTTACTTTTGAAATTTTGATCTGGTAACCTCACATTAGAACTTTAGTACAACTCTAGAGGCTATTCTGATTTATGTTCCAGTGTACACTCACTCAAAGTTTAGCAGACCTGGAATAACTTCACCTGGTTCCAATCAGGGCAGTCCATATAGAAACTGCCCTCTGGAACAGATAAATATAAACAGAAAAGTGCTCCTCCTTTTTACACTTAAAAACCAGGACTTTTTTTGCATTAAGTTAGACACCACAAGAATCTGAATCTTCAACCATCAAACCTCCCTAGCAGATGCTACTATTATTGCATAATCCCCACTCTCTCCCTTTGCCAAAAAGAGTTCCAGTCTCAACTAAGGCTACAA